AATTCATACACTGACCCAGAATATGGAGACAGAACCAAAGCACCCTAAGCTTGATTAAAAACAAAAAAAAAAACAAAGAAAAAACTTGTGTAAGTGACATGTTATAAAATTTGCAAAAAGAAAACATAAAAACAAACAGCCCACCCATGCCTGCTGGGGATTTACGCAAAGCGCATTGAGGAAATTTCTAGTTTGTCTTCTCTTGACTGAGGAAAGCAGCAGCACATCTAGAAGTTCTGTGACGGGCTTTTGGCAAGGAACAAATTAGCTTTCGCTTACACAGTTATACAGTAAACATTTTGTAAGAACAGCTACTAAAGGAAATCTGTAAGTTAAGCTTAAAACAATATTTTATAGATAAGAGGGACTAATAACTAAGGAGATAACATGCAGCTGGGAAACAAAAAAGACCAAAAAATAAGAAAATTTTAAAAAGACTGTAAAACTGGTAGAAACCAGGTCGATTTCTTCCGTGGAATAAAGAGAAACAATATAAGACATTTCACATTTGCTCAGTCTTTGGAAACTAATCAGATTTTAGAAGTTTAGATTAATGACCAGGTTGGCACGGAAGTTCTATTTTATGCTGAGGTTTTTCTTTCCCCAGGAGTGTCCTTTGCTATTCTGTCTGTGAGAGACTCGCTGCCATTGGACAGATCGTCCTCTTCTCCCAACACTCCCACCCATGAGCTTGGTGTTCCGCCAGCTGCAGTTTTGCCCATTTTGATTGAACATACTGTGCTGCTGGAAACTTTTGACTGCACTGAAACACGAGCTGAAATCACATGCTAGCATGCTGCCTCTGGGCTCCAGGGGAAGCAACCTCCACTTCACTGGCAGGCCAGGCCAAGTGCTGTCCTGACCAGACTGTCCCAAAGATAGCGTGTGAGGTACAGCAGGGCCGCTCTAGCACTCAGAAGCCAAAACAACAAGGATCAAGTAAAGGAAAATCAAAGCACTGTTCTCCAAAAACTGTTAGCTGAACTTGACATCTACGAACGCCTTGGGGTTCTGAGTTCTCCCTACTCCAACAGGGCTAATATTGATGTGCATTATAGCCAACTGAAGAAGGGCCTATAATCAAATTGTCTTCCAATTATGGTAATCTGCCTTAATCTGAAAGTAAAAAACTGCTTCCCTCTCTCTAGGAGTCAGCAATAGACTTCAGATGGGTAATACTGTACTTAATTATACAGTATGCTCATTCCAGTTTAAAAGATGGCAGTAATCATCATTTTATCTTAGTTTGGACTTAAGATTTGGCCCAATAAGAACTATTAAGTAGAGACAATAGGCACTTGCTAGAATGCTTCTACTTTTACAAAAGGTTCATTACCCATTTAACCACATTTATGAATTGCCAACAATGTTTGTGTCAAGCCCTGTAAGGCTGTTAAAGGCAGTGAAATCTGAGACTGTTTTAGTGTTACTCTGTACTCTGATCTTAGAAAAGATAAACTGTAAAAGTTGATTCAAAAAAGTCCTGATTTTCCTGGAAAGTTCTTGACAATTTAAAAATGAACTGAGAGAAGGTATCAGAAGAAAAAAAGAACAGAACACATCAAAAGCCCATCAGACCACCTCTGAGTCCATTTCCTGAAAGTTAACTTTGCCTGACAAGTTTTGCAGGGACTGCAAGTTCTATTTGATGCATATTATAGGAGGCCCTGAGAATCAGGAAGTTATTCTGATAAATAAAGCAGATGTCTGTTTGCATTTTTCCCCAATAACGTATGCAAAATCTTGTATAGGCAATGGCACAGACAAACAATGACTCATTTCTCCAGCACAATTTAACAAATACAACTGTATGTACCATGTGGTCTTGGTATGAAAAACTGATATTCTGTAAGCCTGAAATAGTATTTTCATAGTCTTGTCAAATTATCAGGTGTTTATCAGAATTCAACTTGGCTGAAATATCAAGTTCAAGCACAGTATCTTTCGATGTCAGACTAAAAGGTCCTCAGTGTGCCTTCTTTTCTCACATGAGAATGGAAAATGCCTATCTCCAACACTGTAGTTAAGGGGAATGGGAAGGAACCTGTTGGTGAGAATGGGGAGATTACCTGTCACTCAAGACGACTCCCTCGGCTTCAGGGGGTGCGATTGAGAGCTGGAACGGAGTGTTGAAGTAATGCTGCTGTTCATCTGATCGGTGCACAACTTCACCACCTCTGACAACCAGAAAGCCTGAGTCGCCCAGGTTTGCTGTGTGCAAGCGGTGGCTAGTTCTGTCCAGCACCACGATGCAGGCAGTACTGCTACCTAGAAACAAAAATGATCTCCATTTATTTTCTCTTTCTAGGCTGTCTCTGCATACACATTTTTATCATATCGCCCCAAAGAGCAACATGCCATAATTTGAATCTCCTTTGCCTAAACAGGACCTTTCTTAGTTATGGCTCCATATCAATGTCCGTAGTAACCTGATGAGGATCAACATGACGGGGAAAGAAAACGGGATTTATACTATGCATAGTTAAGTGGGCCAGTGATGACTTGGATTCTTCCACTTGCAGAGATAGGAAACAATAAAAACGGCTGGTATTTAACCACATTATTTCAATAGTGCTATAATCTATCTCAAATGCTCAAAAGGATGTTGTTGAGATATTAAGTTTTAATACTTAAAATGCCAGAAGGAGCATGTTACGTTTCCATGACATTTCTCATTAGTCATAGGCAGAAAGCCTTCTCTGTGAAATTCACTAACATTTAAGACAAGGCACATAACTACAATTTTAAACAGAATTTCCATCTGCTGAGGTCATGAAGAACTTTTACTGAAGACTGACTCACTATGAAGTAACAAGGCCAATTTTCCCAGGTAGCTTGTGGAATCAACCTGTTCACTTTACAGAGACTACCTGTTCAGAGAGAAGAGACCACATTCCAAGCAGAAGCTTCTGTGTACCTTTGCAGCACACAGCTCACATGACCTTCCCCACACTGAGGCTGATAGTACAATTAGTGAAAGTGCTTTCAAGTGCTAAAATTTCAACCTATGCCCTGAAATATGTGCATATCCTTTGATCTAGCAATTCCACTGTGAGGATTTATCATAAGAAAATAATGTGTTAGCTATTTGATAGCCACTAAAATTGTGTGAGAGAAATATATCTGAAAATGAAAGATAATTTAAGTGAAACAAGTGACTATTTTGCCAGAAAAATGGCAAAATAGAAAAATGAGCAGTTTACCAAGAAATAAATGTAAATGGTCTGTAAATATATTTCTGAAAAATGATCACTGCACTAGTGTAGGAACCATGGTCACTCTCATTTCACAGTGGTAAGAGAGTAGAACTAAATAACCTTTCTAAAGGACAATATTGCCCTGAAATATGTGCATATCCTTTGATCTAGCAATTCTACTGTGAGGATTTATCATAAGAAAATAATTAGAGATGCAAACAAGACTTAAGTACAAAAACACTGCATAAGATCACAAAGAACTGGTAACAACCTCAACATCTAAAATTAAGGGACTGGGGACCTCCCTCGTGGCACGGTGGTTAAGAATCTGCCTGCCAATGCAGGGGACACGGGTTAAAGCCCTGGTCCGGGAAGATCCCACATGCCGCGGAGTAACTAAGCCCGTGCACCACAACTACTGAGCCTGCGCTCTACAGCCTGTGAGCCACAATTACTGAGCCTGCCTGCCACAACTACTGAAACCCGCGTGCCTAGAGCCCATGCTCCACAACAAGAGAAGCCCGCACACCACAACGAAGAGTAGCCCCCGCTCGCCGCAACTAGAGAAAGCCCGTGTGCAGCAACGAAGACCCGATGCAGCCAAAAATAAATAAATTAAATAAATAAATTTAAAATAATAAAATTGGGCTTCCCTGGTGGCGCAGTGGTTGAGAGTCCACCTGCCGATGCAGGGGACACGGATTCGTGCCCCGGTCCGGGAAGATTCCCACATGCCATGGGAATCTCAGCTCAGCGGCCATGGGCCCATGAGCCATGGCCGCTGAGCCTGCACATCCGGAGCCTGTGCTCCGCAACGGGAGAGGCCACAACAGTGAGAGGCCCGTGTACCGCATAAAAAAAAAAAAAAAAAAAAAGGCAAAAAGAAACAAAATAAACAGGTTGTGGAATCAGCTGTGTTAAATCCCAGTGCTCTATGATTTTCTAGCCACATGACATGACCGTGGGCAAACCACTTATTCTCTCTAGGCCTCAGTTTCTTCCTAACAAAATGAGGAACAAAAATGCCTACAAATCTACCTCACTGAAGCTATTGTGAGCACACAGTAGATTCAATTCCTGTTGTTATTATTCTATGGGCAAAGAAAAAAAGTCAGGGAGTATAATCACTAAAAAATTAACAGTTTTCTTAGTGGATTATAGGTAACTTAATTTTTGTTATTAATTTTTCCTTAGTGAAAATGTGTAACTTAATTTAAAAACACTTAAATATAATCATTTGTGTCACTGTAATGTTCAGAAATTCTGTTTCCTTGTTATCTACAGTATATGCATGTGTATAAACTTGACACTTTAATGCTATCTAGTACCTACCCATTAATTGTCAAAGAAAAGAAAAACATGGGTATTGTAACTAACTGGCCATGCTGTCAGAGAACCTACTCCATAGCTTATATTAGAGCTAAAATCACCAATTACCCTTCCTTCCTAACTCAATGCACAGAAACTCCAATCATTTACATCATTAATAGAATCACCACACAAAAGATCTTCTGAAAGCTGATGGAATTAATTTAACTGAGAACAAAAAAATGACAGATGAGTAGCACAGCCTTGAAAACTGTGCTGCAGGAAGGACTCACATTGACTCATTATTACTCACTGACAAATTCAGGCTATCATTTTGCTACCCTTGTGGCAGTAACCCACTGCGTTAGAATCAAAATGGTCCTCGTGAGTGACAGACAGAGCTTTAATATGCAAAGCAGCACCAACGAAGGGAAGCTCAGCCTTACAGAATCATCTGGGCTCATAGTGTGTAAACTCCTCTGCCTCTTCAAATTACTGATGCGTACAGCGGCTCAGGCCCTGGTAGCCTAATACTGGGAGAAGAGCTCACCATTCTTACGTGTTTGGAGAGGAACAAACTGGCAAAGAAGAAAAGAGTGCTAAGAACAACAGTGTTGAATGTTCTGACAACTGAGCAATCCAGACAGGTCCCTGAGCAAATCCCTCACGCTAACATGGAAGTATTTTTATCACCTGGCCCTTATTCTGTAAACTACCACTAAGCCTTTTGTGCAGCAAAGAAAGAAAGGGATAGCCTTACTGGGATTAACCCCTCAAATTCTTAAGATATGTTGGCTTCATAAGACCTAAATCCACTTAAGGGTTTCTGAGGAAATAATATGTCAACAATTAGCCTGTGATGCCAACCCAGATCTAAAAGCAGCTAGAAATTCTCAAGAAATAAGTGGTTACAGCTATCAGCTTGCCCTTTATATTGGAATTATGTTATAGGCTTTTTAGCAATGGCAGAATTTTTAAAAAAAGGATCACCTAATCTTATAAAATTATTACTTGCAATTATAGCTGAGGTTCAGTAAAACTCAGCAGCCTGTCTTTGCCAAAACATGCTTGAGTTTTAGTTACAAATAGCTTAGAGATGTGTAGATAAGGTAAGAGAGAAGTGTATATGTGTCAAACATGGTAACGAAGGATTATTTCAACGTGTTTTTTAGGAGAAAGAGGTAGTCATAATATTCAGTGCAAGAAAAACTCTTATATGTCCTTAAATTTATTTTATTAAGCTCTCCCAGTTACATGAAGGTGAATAGGGGAAAAAGTAGGAACAAGGAAGAAATACAGCAAAAAACAAAGCTTTCAAAGTACAAAATCAGGATAGGTGTTACAGGTTTTAACAGGTTATTCCAAGTCACAGTAATTTAGTAAATGCACTGTGGGGTGCAGGGTGGGGTGGTGTTGGCAGAAGACTCAGGCCCCTGGTATCCCTGTCTACAGGTTCTTTTGTTAGATGGCACCCTGCAATGTTCTCTTTTCCCTCAACATGTTTCTGAGTATTGCAAGAAGCTTTAAGTCATTGCTTTTCATAAAAAAGATTTATCCAGTTAACATATGAAATAAGGGGTCAGAGGTTAAGTGGTTTGCCCAAAGTCATACGGCAAGTTTACAGAGATGAAATAGAATCTAGGATGTTTCACGGTATCAGGCAAGCTCAAGATTGCATGCCCAAAACAGCAAATTAAGACAAACCAGTATATTGAAACTTCTAGACAAGCTTTCTCTTCAGTTAGAAGGAGAACAAGCTAGTTAATCACAGCACAGAGAAGACAGAAGATGGTAGCATGATGAAAAGTACCCCTTCTTGCAAAGGTTTTAAATTGAAGGCAAAATTCTACAACATGGCGATCTCTGTTAACATTGAACATTGAGGGCTGATTTTAAATGTGCATGGTGATTGGGAGGGAGGCCTTCTAGTAACCAGAAAGATGCTGGCAGTTAGCAGAAACTTAATAACACCCTTTCTGAGAGCCTGCTTAGAAGGCTTGGGTAAGTTCCCAAGAAACCACTTAACAAACAAATGTAGAAGCTTAGCCAAAGGATGCTCCATTAGCATACCAGAAAACAAACACTGGGTATTTGTAAATTTTCTAATACAAGATTAACAGGGATCTACACAGACTAAATGTTAACTGCTAGTAGCTGGGGAGCCAATTTGCAACCTGAACTCCTCACAGGTAATCAACTGAGTTTTACATGCTGGACCTATCCCCTCTTTTCCTCCCTGGGAGAGAATCACTATCCCAATTATACAACCACTTGCTTTTCTTTCTTCTTTTATCATATTTTAGAATCCCTAAACAATACAGTTTTACTTGTTTATGTTTCTGAATTTGAAATATATGGAATCAGACTGTTAGGTGATATTCTGCAATGTCCTCTTTTCCCTCAACAACATGTTCCTGAGTACTGCATGCAACCTTAACTCGTTCCTTTTCAAAATGCGTTTTTCTACTATAAATGGGCTTTTAGGTTGTTCCCAGTTTTCTGCTATTATAAATAATGTTACTATGAACATTCTTGTACCTATGTTTTGATACACAGATGTGCAAGAGTTTCTCTAGTCTAGGGTAAAGACCCAGAAGTGGAACTTTATTCTGTAATTCTAAATTGTTTTCCAAAGTGGTTGTATCTATTTCAAGCAGTATTATGTATTCTGGTGTTGCCCACAGCTTCTCCATCAAATTGCTTAATAGGAAGAGCCTCAGAAAAAGAGCTGGGCTGGTAAGTGATTTTCTTGGTTTTTTTGTTAACCATCTCCTGGGCTTCTTTAGAGAGGAAAACGCATAGGATATCTACTTACCAAGCAAAGGTACTTTATTTTGCAGCAACTCACAGTAGCTTGTGGTGAGGATTCCAATGGGATTACTTGGGACGAACCGTCCTTCTTTTACTAACCGTTCACATGTCCGCATTAAAGTCCCTGAGAACTGAGACGGATCAACTCCATAGTCTCTCCATCCTCCTACACCATCTGCGACCCCTAAAAAAAGAAATTTACATTCAAAGGATATTCTTACCAACGTCTCAGGAACTCTTACCCCCGTTTTCCTAATACTAATTTTACTACATACTAGTACATCTATTTACCCTGAAATTCAGATTAAAAAGTGCTCAGGTTTAATGTATTAAACACTAATACTCCTAAGCCACATTCTCTACTTAGAATCTGATCTTTCATATACTGATGAATAAACACGTGAGCTACCACAGGGTGGCATTGCCTCCCAGCCAAGAGTTCGATTTCAGCAGGATTTTCATCTTTGTACAGAAGTATTTGTGTTATTAATCTCTGTTGTATTTTATAGGAATGAAAATGGATTTTTTTAAAAAAGTGCTGATGCTAGTGAGAATACAACTGAGCCAGAGCTGTCCATCATTAAGAATACCAAAAGCAGCAAACTTTTAACTTCAAATATTGGTCAATAACTGTGAAAGAGAGAACAAGATTAAGAATACATCCCACCCCCTTTCCTCCTCCCTCTGAGACAACCTCTATCCTGTACAGGGCCGCACTGCCCAGTATAACAGCCACTACCACACGTGGCTAGTAGGCACTAGAAATGGGGCTGATGCAAACTGAGAAGTGCTCTAAGTATAAAACACACACTGGATTTTTGAAAACTTGTTAGCATGAAAAAAAGGGTAAAATAGCTCATTAATTTTTATACTAATTACATGTTGAACTAATATTTTGGATATAATGTGCTAAAGAGAATACATTATTAAAATTAATGTGACCTGTTTCTTTTTATTTTTAATTAATGTGAATATTAGGAAATTTAAAATGACATGTGTGGCTCACATTATATTTCTATTAAACAGCACTGGTATAGAGATTTTTCATGGGTCCATAGAGCTGCTGATGAGTTCACAGTCTGCCTAAGACTCCTTTATCGAGAGGAAACCAGTGCTCAAGAAAAATTAGACATCAAAGTCAACACCATACCATCTCCTATTCAATCCCTTGCAACACCAAGCTAGTTGTTCAACATTAAAATCAATTTCTAAATTCAACAGTCTACTAAATTCAAAAACTGTGAGGTTGTTTATTTGAAATTCAAACTAAAATGTCAGATATATACATTATTAAAATTTTAAGTGACCACAAATGAAGCTTTCTGGAATGACAACTATAGTTGTTTTCAAAATAAAAGATCCGTGAACAAATGGGAGAGTTAAGCTTTTTACTTCATACTGTTCTGTATTATTAAAATTTTATTTTTATAATGAGCATGTATTGATTTTATGATAAAAATATTAATTAGGGAATTTATAATTTTTAAGGCTATCTGAGCATGAAACATCCTCCCCACATACACATTTACATTTTTTCTTCCAGTTTTATTAAGATATAATTGACCTACAGCACTGTAAAAGTTTAAGGTGTACAGCATAATGATTTGACTTACGTACATCATGAAGTGATACCACAGTAAGTTTAGTGAACATCTATCATCTCATGTAGACACAAAATTAAATAGAAAAATATTTTTTTCCTTGTGATGAGAACTCTTAGGATTTGCTCTCAACAACTTTCATATATAACACACAGCAGTGTTAATTACATTTATCATGTTGTACATTACATTCCTAGTACTTATTTATCTTATAACTGGAAGTTTGTTTCTTTTGACTGCCTTCATCCAATTCCCTTCCTGTATTCCTGCCTCTGGTAACCACAAACCTGATTTCTTTTTCTATGAGTTTGTTTTTAAGTATAATTGACCTATATTTACATTTTTTGTACATTCAACTTTCACACACACTTCAAAGAGCATATTTGGTGCAAAAGTAGGAAAGTGCTTATATGTATCCCTGAAAAACTGGCTTAACATGAAATTAACACATTAAACTATTTTTCTGGTGATGGCACTTATCAAGCAGAAATGGAAAACATCCTGAAAAAATAATAAGAAACAGAATTGGAAGACAGTAAAGAGGTTGACAAATAACTTACCACTACTGGAGAAGCAACTTTCCTCACCTTTTGTGACCAACCAATGGGCAAAATTTCCCTTTTTTTTTGGCCATGCTGCGCGCATGCGGCATGTGGGATCTTAGTTCCCAGACCAGGGACTGAACCCATGCCCCCTGCAGTGGATGCTCAGTCTTAACCACTGGACCGCCAGGGAAGTCCCAAGGCAAAATTTCACTTTAGGGCAATTCCAAATTAGTTGGTTAGATGATATGATGTCTGCGATTTGTTTCAAAATATTGGGGGGGGGGGTGACAAAAGAGTAGATGAAACAAGACTGGCCATGAATGGATAACTGAAGTTGAATAGTGAGAGGTACATTCATCCCTCTACCTTGATGTATATTTGAAATTTTCCATTATATAAAATTTAAATAGTAATAATGATAAGAAGAAAGATCCTTCTGCCTGCTGTGTGGAGAGCAAAAGCAGAAAAGGGAATAAATCAGGAGACTGTCTCAGTAGCCCAGTTGTGAAATGGCGGCAGTGCAGTTAGAGTGCAGGGATTTGGGATCCAGTGAAACAAAAAGACTCACAGGTACACTGAATGGGGTACAGTGAGGGTGGGGGAAAGAGAAGCATCAGGGATGACTGAGGTCTACCCTCCCAGGAAGAGTATCATTTTTTGGTGCTTTTCAAGCAGCTGTAAGGATATCTAGAAATTCTTACAAAAATTTAAGGTAGTTCAATAGGAACTTCTTTTGAGGAATTCTTACGTCACCAGGGATAAGATTTTACCATGATTTAAATGCAACAATTTGTGTTAAAAACACAGAATGCAATTATAGTCCTTGCAACTCCATCTGATGAATCATTCATTCTTCTCAAACTACTGTTTGCTTGAGGGAAGAATTTCTTAACCAGTTTCTGCTCTAAGAGCCACAATTAACTTTAAATACAAACTGGTTTCATCTACAAATGCCCTTCATAAGAAAACCATTAAAACCTGAGATAATGTTGAGAGTTGATCCCGGCACTCACTAAATAATCTGTCAGCAGGTTATAGAGTCTGACCTGGCACAGCCCTTCAACATTAATCAGATTTCTCCCAGAATAGAGGTAACCTTTCAGGCACCTGTTTGCTCTTATATGGGAAAAAGAACACAGGCAAAACTCCATTGGCCAAGACTCTTTAGGGGGAAAAAGAGATTCAAAAAGCATATAAACTTTTCAATAAAGCTGTGTGAAAAAAGTCTTAGTATACATACATAATTTACTTACAAAGAACAAGTTATATAACAGGAAGTTATATTTGGGATTAGAACCAGGCTAAAACCAGAATAACCTACATTTGAAACCTAGTTTAATTCATATTAGGCAGTTATTTCTATAAGAAAATGAATATTTCCTCTCTTGCATAAGCAAAAGCTTCAATCCACAGTGGAACCGTGGAACTGATCCAGATATAAAGGGAAATTTCATTCAGAGGTAAAGAAAACAACTGTTAAAGGAGAGATTGCTTCAGATCTTGAAGATATCAAACAACAATGGATAAGAATATCCCTAAGAACAAATGGAGGCTACAGTGAATACTAGGAAACAGAAGCTGAGGGAGACATATCCTGCCTCCGGGAAGCTCACCTTCTAGTGGGCAGCTAGACTACTCACTCATGGGATCTAGACAAACGGCTCTCACAAATGCTGCTACAGAAGAGTCAAGAGCAAGTGGTTAATGCTTATGGGGCACTGCGAGAATGGAGCAAGCTTTCACTAGGAAGTGGCATTCAGATCTGGCCCTGGAAGGTAAGTCAGATTTCCTCAGGCAGGGAAGAGTAATTAAAGGAAAAGAATGGCAAATTAGGTGTGGGTGGGGCTTGGGTGAGTGGGGAGAAGTTGAAATACGCAGGGCAGGGGCTGAAGCTGTGGGGTGCCCAAAATTGCAGTCCAAAAACTTTAAGCTTTATGCTATAGACCTGTGTTGTCCAATACAGCAGCCACTACCCACATGTGGCTATTCAGTTTGAAATGTGGCTAGCATGGATTGAGATGTGCTGTTAAATGTAAAATACACTCTGGATTCCAAAAACGTAGTACCCCCGAGATTGTAAAATGTCTTAGTTTCATGTTGAACATACATTTTAGATATACTGGGTTAAATAAATATGTTAATTGAAATTAACACCATCTGTTTCATTTTACTTTTTTAAATGTGGCTACTAGAAAATTTAAGATTACATATATAGTTTACAGTATATTTCTACTGAAGAGCACTGCTCTAGACAATAAAAAGTCACAAGGTTTCTGGGTACAAGTGATATAATCCAATCTATATTTTAGAAAAAATCCTGACAGCAGTGGACAGAACGGGTTCAGAGAGGTAAGAGGTCAGGCATCAGCTGCAAGATTTTAGGTTAGAGGTAATGAGAAAAGTAGAATAGACAACCACTGGAAATACAAAGGACATAAAGACAAGACAGCTCTCCATCAATACATTTTATATCAATAGGTTTCTGGATTTCAGGAATGAATATTGATTAGATGATTCCCCAGTTAGGAGGGGGTGAAAATGCCTTTAGAAGATACTGACTTCTGTCTCAGGTATGCTGAGTTTCAGGCACCGGTAGGGCATTTTTGTGGAAATGTTCTGTATGAAGTCAGGAACTAAGAGTCTGCACTGGGGAAGGCAATCAGGGCCAGTTCTTTGACAAAGGTCCAGTACTGACACCACAGAATGGACTGAATGCTCAGGGAGTATAGAGTAAAAAGTTTAAGGACTTAAGGGGGATCTTATCTTAGGAACGAGAATTCCTGGCCAAACAGCTCACTTGCGATTTGCATCTTACTTCAGGCATCAAATTACAAACACAGATATAACTGATTAAGTTTAGGTAACAGCCAAGTAATCCAATTTGTCAGAATGATATAATTTTTTTAGCGGTAAAGAGAGGTGAAGTTGAAAAGGTGGACTGAACTGGAAAGGCTTTGAATGCCAAGATAAAGAGTTTGCACCAATATAGAAGCTATTTCATTTAACTCACTGTAATCACCTTATGTCTCCATTAATAA